CGAGTCCAAGTCAAGTCTCAAGTCTCTAAAAAATAAAAGTCTCATGTCTCTTCTGGTTGTAATAAGCCTTCTATTGTCTGCTGCTATCCAGTCTGTTAAGAATACTGCACAGCTATATCTAAGAAATTCAAAGCATTTACTGTATTATTATTTATCACTCCTATATCTATTAGCATACAGTATCAGTACTGATTAGTTGTTTGTTATATGATCACTTTAAACAGGCTATTGCAATGCAATATGAGGAAAAACATCACAGTTTAGCTAAATGCAAACAACTTATAAGCAAAACACTTCAGAATCAGAAATCAGAATCACAAATACTTTATTAATCCCCCGCAGGGAAACTGTGTTAAAAGTACTTCAAAGTAAACATTTGTTCTGTGCCATTTGCAACTAAAAAACTATTGCTGCAATATTATCTGAAATATACTGAACTGGTGATATTAAAACATGACCTGTTCCAAAAGAGATATCTACCATTAACACCATTTACCAGCCAGATGCTGGTAAATCATGCAAGTGGCTGGTACTGTATGTTGCACGCACCAGACAAAAAATAACAATGGCAATCTATTGAGTGGCTGGTAACATTTCAACATTCACTAGGCTAGCCATTTGGCCAGTGGACAAAAATGTTAAAATTTGACCTCTGCAACCGTATTGTTTAATTACACTGGGTCTCTAATGACATATTTTAAGTCTACTATAAATAAACATATTCCTCTATCCTCTCACTCAAACCCAGTGTAATGGTAACCTGATAAACCTGTAACATTAACGTTACGTGGTCAACAATAAACCTGTAACCTGCCTATAAACCGACAGATGTATTTATGTATGTAACTATGTATTTGTCTACGTTTAACGTTAGCCAGTAGATGGTGGCAGCGGAACGTAATGATTAACGTTACCGACCTTTTGTATGTCATGTCAAGAGTTGGATGTCAACGCCACTCAACGCAAACAAGTGTGACAAGCAAACATTCACTCATCTTTCAAATATTCAGTTACAAAGCTAGTAGCAAGCTAAGTTAACATTACATAGCTGATGCTGAGCTAAACATGTTTGCTAACCGTCCATATGCGTTAATGTGACTGACCTCTCCGGGTGAGTTTTCAAGTGCCTGATGAAATTTGACGCTGTTGCACCAGCATCCTTGATTTTAATATTGCAGACTTTGCAGTGTGCGCTCCTTTTGTTGGTGCCGCCGGCGTTTTTGTTCGAAGTTTTTATAGTTGAACCCAGAGCCATATAATAGAAGAGTTATGACATCTCCGTTCACTCCAATGGACCACTTTTTTACAGCAATGGTGGATCGTGGAGCCTCTCATTCGTTCCCCGGAAGTTAGCGCCAAGGCTAGCAGAGCTGTGGAGTTGCAGCATAATAGACCGTTCGTGACGGACTTTTAAAGGTAAGAAGAAGTTTAAAGATGTATATTGCGGATATTATCAGTACATCTGATTCAATTGAACATGTGTATTAAAGGATGTCAGTGGATTATCCCTAAATTAGTAGATTTAGGGAACGTTTACAGATAACAGATCAAGCTAGGATACCGAAGCAAGTTAGCAACACACGTTGAACAGCCTTTTAATTGTAAATTCCGTTCTCTTAATGTCTATTTGGTCCAACGTTGTTGAATTAGAGAAGAGGGGCTTCTAAACGGGATTGTATGCGGGGGTGGAGGGAGTTAAATATTAGATAAATATAACTTTGGTGCGTGTAAGAGTGAGTGTTTTTAGCAGAGCCATATTGTGTCCTTGTGATTATGTTGATTATTACCTGTGTGTATAATGTTGCAGCTCAGCTGATTTTGGATTGATGGCAAAGGGAGAGGAACTTAAGTGAGAGTGAACACACAAGGTAAGTTTAATACTAATGTTTTATATAAGTAAGCATACTAAACATGTATTATATCACTGTATTATATAAGTAATCTTGTTAGTAACCGACTGTATGGCAGGTGGAGGGGCAGTGATGTTACAGGTGGAGGAGCAAAACTGCAAGACTGCAAACTCACAAGACAGAGAAATCAAAGTTTGTTCTCCAGAGAAGAGGTTGATTTCACTTCAATTTTTTCATATTTTCTAAAGATGTGGAAATGGCACAAAAAAAAACTTGAGAGCTGTAACCAAGACAACTGTAACAACATGAGTAGACAGCCACCAAGGTTTTTCAAGTCCCTCTCTTACTCCATTTTGCCAACCCAAACTTCCATGTACATGACGGGACACCTTGCTTGTTTTTGTTGTTTGCGCTCCTCTGGCAGGTGGAGGGCAGTGATCCCTTCCCTTCTTCCCTCAATCTTTGAGACTAATGTAAGTAGAAGACATGGCACTGTAAATGTTCGAACATTTAAAATATTATACCACTTAAAAATAAGAAATATTACTTTTGTTACTAAGAGTTCATACTTATTATACCTGTGTCACCTTTCACACTATAGCTGTGATCATGAGCTATGGGCTTTGTAGATACAGGTCCCGGGGTGAATCGTGGTGCAGGGGCCCTTCTCTTTTTGACCACAGGGCGATGCACGAAGATGGTGGGTATAGCCTCTGCTCTCAGCCTAGTCTTGCCCTTTTTTGTCTTGACAAACTGGTCTGCATCAAAATGTGCCTGCGGAGTGACTTGAGGTTACTTCACACACAGAACAACTCAGTTTTGTCTGCCCACATACATATTCCATAGTGGTTGAATACACAGTATTAGGAAACACTTTATACTTACTGGACATGTTATACTCATTACATACTGTATATACAATATGACCAAGAATGTGAGACAACTTTATAGAAATTCATATCACATCTGTTACTGATGCCATTTGTCATATACTTTGTTAAACTCACAAATAATAAAGTTCCATAACTTCAGTTGGGAACAAAGACCACACCTTATCTCCCCAAGGCAATTTCCCATCCAATAGGTGTGCTATATAGGTGTGTATAACCCTTTCTCCTGTCTGTTACTCCCTCTTTCAGCACAAGAACCAGAGGGGGATTCAATGGAGCCTGAATACCTGCACTGAGACCCTCACCCTGCACCCTGAGTCTCAACTCAGTGTTTTTCAAGCCTTTCCCTGTTTTTTGTATTAAACAAAACATTAAGCTTTCCCAATGGTGTGGTTTTCGTTTTGTGAAAAAGTGCAAATGCAGTGTTTGTATATAAATCACATATTTTTTTGCTGTTGGTCGTGAAATTGCTCCTGCTGACTTGAGCCAGCCATTTTTTCCTCCGCTCTGTGTCAGTGGGGAAGCTGTACATTCGTACTCCTTTCTCTGAGCGATTGGAGCATCAGGCAGCACAGCAAACCATGGTGGCGACTAGGAGGCAGCACAGCAAACCATGGTGGCGACTAGGAGGCAGCACAGCAAACCAGGACAACACGGAGGAAAAGGCACAGACAAACTGCATGATATGCTATTCAATGTTTATTGAATTCCATGTATTTGCAATGGATGTTCCTAAAACAACACATTTAACATCATCATCATCATCATGCTGCTGCTGCTAGTCCTTTGATAGTCACCTGTCGGTCTCCTGTCCTTTCTGAAAGCCATAAAGATGACATTAGTCATTTAGATAACTTGTGTCCTCAATTACCATGGTTACTGAAACTACCATGAATTTAAGAAAATGGTAGACATTAATCTAATCTGAATTTTAAAGCATTACTTTAGATCCCCTCCCTCTAAATATATCAATAAACATTAGAAAGTGATGCTCCTGACTACCATACAAGTTTAAGAAGATAATATTGGTTTTAAAGAATTCAAAGCTATAAATAAACAGCAACAGGCTCTTTAACCAAGGCACTGTTAGCCTAACATGTAAACTAGTTGTTCACACTAATCCTAATATTATCACTTAATATTAGCAAATTCTATTTTATTTTTTAAAACATATTGATGTAAATACATACACATATCGATTTGTTGTATAAATATTGCAAATCAAAACCTTTATTCACTAATAATTACCAAAAATCGTAGTTCTATCTCCTGTTATCAATGCATTCACATTGCCCGCCATGAACTTCCGGGGAACGATCCTCTTCTACATGAACCACGTGACGATAACCGTTTTTGGACTTCCGTTGTCGTAACTCTTCTATTATATGGCTCTGGTTGAACCTAATTACAAGCGGTACAGCTGCAGGTGTGCCGCCGGTCGCCATGGTGTTACCATGATGTTAATGTTAATGTTAAAGGTGGGGTAGGTAAGTTTGAGAAACCGGCTCGAGATACACTTTTTGTTATATTCCATGGAATGCTCTTAACATCCCGATAGCCGGCCCGGCTAAAGTAACTGGATGGCCTACCTGCCTGTCAGCCTTCCATCGGGGCACAAACTTATCTCGTGCCCTCATTGGTCATGTGCGCGTTCGTGTGTGTTGGAGGAGGGGCTCTGTGAGGAAGTGGCAGATTTTCTCCGGTTGTGTATTTTCAAATTCTAGCGATCTCGAGCTGGTTTCTCACACTTACCTACCCCACCTTTAATACGCCAAAAATAGAAAACACAATGATTGTTCACGAGTCCCAAAACACGAGTCCAAGTCGAGTCTGAAGTCTTTTGAGCAGGAGTCCAAGTCAAGTCTGAAGTCTCTGTGTGTGCGACTTAAGTGCGACTCGAGTCCGAGTCACAGACTCGAGTCCCCATCTCTGCATTAGCCCATAGCTATGCACGTCCCTGCATAGGCCTTACTGTATTAGGATCATTGTTGATCAAGTAGCAGACCAGATCAAGTGGCATACCTTCAAAATAAAAGCATAGAACATGTCAGTTATTAAAACACTTTTGTAAATCAATTGTAGTTTAATCGTAGGCCTGAAAACACAAACATTTTTCGTGAATTATACAAGTTATAAAGCACAACCAGACACTGGTGATAAATGCGAGTGTGATTAGACTATATGAAGGTGTGTGTGATCCTCGTCATCCTGGACAAACAACAGCTGATCGATGGGCTGCTGCCATGGCAACGACCAGAGCGTCAACATGTCCGTGGGGTCGACACGTCATGAGAAGAGAGAGCTCGCTGAACTAAAGGATGATAAACTACAGGTAATAACTGAACATGTTTGTTATGTGTCTGATTATTCGACATAACTAAAGCATGTGTTCTCCTCTTCAGAAAGAGGAGCCAGTGTTCCTGCAGTGGCACGCGCAGACACAGCAGCAGGTCCACGAGCTGCTGAAAAAAACTCCGGAAGAACTTCAGCTGTAAGTAGCGCCAACGAGCTAACGCTAGCTTAGCAACGCGTTAAACATAACGAGTTAACACTGAGCTAACTGTAAGCACATAAAACTCGGGAACATATAGTACATTTAGAGTGTTTAGAACAGCACCTCTATTTCTGTCGAGTCGAAACCAAACAGGTACAACTTCCGCACACTGCGCGTGCTCACTGCGTTCACTAAAACGACGCTGAAGTTGGCTTCCGATTCAGAGCATCCGATTCGGCAGTTAAGGGGAAAGTTAAGGGACATTTAATTTACAGCGCTGAGCAAACAATCCTCCGTGTTTGAACCTCTTAAATCGCTGCATAGCGGATTTATTTGGACTGGATTATCTCAGAGTCTAAAGATTATTTATAACACAGTTTGAGATTTGTGAAACCTTTATTCTATTTGTGAAAATACAAAAAAGGGAGATTTCAGTGCTTTTTTTTTTACATGTAGTCCACATTAGACCAGGTCCTGATCTGAAACCACTAGACCTACACTCATCAAATCTGGACTGGATTATCCCAGAGAGTCTAAAGATTCTTTATAACCCAGTTTGAGATTTGTGAAACCTTTATTCTATTTGTGAAAATACAAACAAGGGAGATTTCAGTGCTTTTTTTTTTTTTACATGTAGAGCACATTAGACCAGGTCCTGATCTAAAACCACTAGACCTAGATTTATCAAATCTGGACTGGATTATCCCAGAGACTCTAAAGATTATTTATAACACAGTTTGAGATTTGTGAAACCTTTATTCTACACTGAACAAAAATATAAACGCAACACTTTTGTTTTTGCTCCCATTTTTCATGAGATGAACTCAAAGATCTAAAACATTTTCTATATACACAAAATAACCATTTCTCTCAAATATTGTTCACAAATCTGAAAAAATCTGTGATAGTGAGCACTTCTCCTTTGCCGAGATAATCCATCCCACCTCACAGGTGTGGCATACCAAGATGCTGATTAGACAGCATGATTATTGCACAGGTGTGCCTTAGGCTGGCCACTATAAAAGGCCACTCTGAAACGTGCAGTTTTGCTTTATTGGGGGGGTCTGGGGGGGGTCTGAAAACCAGGCATTATCTGGTGTGAGGGGTAGGATTAGGATTAGGGTTAGGGGTAGGGTTAGGGTAATGTTGTGAATTGAGTGGCCTGTGTTCGTCGTCCATAACATACGCCTGCCCATACCATAACCCCACCACCACCATGGGCCACTCGATTCACAACATTAGCCTAACCCTAACCCTACCCCTAACCCTACCGGAAAATATGTCTCAAAATTCCGTGTGTGTAAAAAGACGATCCATAAGCAGAAATGTGAGATCCACGAGCAGAGATTTGAGATCCGCAAGCGCATTTTTGGTCGACAAATACAAAATGGATTCACAAATGCCTGATCGAAAGTTTTAAATGTTAAAGAGATATTCACAGATGTTTTTTTTATTTGTGAAAATATTTAGCGTATTTGCAGATCCGTTTTACACTTGCACATTTATTTGTGAGTTTGCAAATCTTTTAAATGCATTTGTGGATGGTGTTTTACATTTACAAATCACATATTTACACACAAATTATTTTTATGTTCACACAAATAATTATGAGACATATCTATGCCCATAAGCGCTCTATCCACACAACTGCGCCGAGCACTTGACTTTATGCAGGAAGCCAGACAGTGGGACATTGTACGAAAAGTCAGCACACTCAGCACGGATAGTGCGCAACATGATTGCAGCGTCCAGGCAGCTCCCGTTCGAGCATATGCCTTGAGCTGCACATAGCTCCAACGATCCATCACACACACACACACACACACACACACACACACACACACACACACACACACACACACACACACACACACACCCACACACACCATTTGTATTGTATTATTGTATGAGAGAGGTTCCAGGTTGAATTGAGGCGAATATTTATAATGTTCAGAAGTTGTTGTGTTTAATATTCATGAGAATATTTGTCATTGTTCAAATGATAATAAACATTAGCATAAAGCATATTTGTCCACTCATATGTTGATAAGAGTATTAAAAACTTGAAAAATATTCCTCTAAGGTACATTTAGAACAGATAAAAAATGTGCGATTAATTTGCGATTAATCGCGATTAACTATTTTAATCGACTGACAGCCCTAATATATATATTAAATGTACCTGTAGTTTTTGCACACCTGGTGGTAAAAAAAAGACTAGTAGTGAGCAAATGACATGAGCATTACTACTATGAACAAAACAAAGCCAAGAACAGTTTTGACTCTCGTCAAGCGCCATCATTTCTATGATGAAGTTAGAGATAGTTTTAGCCCTGGGGTCGTCTCTGGCAAACTTCTTGCCTTTTTCAAAAGCCTCGTCTTTGCCTTTGCCTTTGCAGCTGGCTTTGGATTCGCCGCTAGTTTAGCAGCGCAGGCGTCTTCGTACGCTTTTAACACACCATCGTAGCGATGGCGATGTTTCAGGTGACTAATCAGGTTGGAAGTATTATAGCTCGTTGCCTTTTTCCCTCCTCGTGGAACTTCTGCATTGCATTTGTTAATACAAATAGCAAGCGAACTATCTAACTCTGAAACTTTGAAATAGTCCCATACTACCGACGACATGTTTGTTTACTGTCCTGGCTTCACGGCCGCACACAGCCAGGCATGAGTTAGGGAGCGCTGGATTTGTGAAAAACTCCCCTCTTCCTAAACCACTAATACCACAGTACTGGCAAAACGGGAGGAGCCGAGTGAAAAACAAGCGCCCCTCATCCCAATCCACCCACACCGCAGTATTTTTTTCTTTTTCTTTACCCAAAAAATATATTGTATATTATCGGGGCTATTAATACTGTTATCGGGTTTATCGGGATGACGTCATAATTCCTAATATCGGACCGATAATTATCGTGCACCACTAGTTATAAAGAATCTTTAGACTCTCTGAGATAATCCAGTCCAAATAAATCGGCTATGCAGCGATTTAAGAGGTTCAGACACGGAGGATTGTTCGCTCAGCGCTGTAAATTAAATGTCCCTTAACTTTCCCCTTAACTGCCGAATCGGATGCTCTGAATCGGAAGCCAACTTCAGCGTCGTTTCACTAAAGTCCAACGACATTAGCAGTGTTGGAAGAAGTACTCAGATCCATTTCTTATGTAAAAGTACCAATACACTACAAGTTAAAGTCCTCATTTCAAAATGTTACTTTAAAGTTTAGTAGAAGTACAAAAGTATAAGCAGTCAAATATACTTAAAGTACAAAAAGTACTCATTCTGTAAAATGGCCCATTTCAGAATAATATAAAGTACAACATTATTATTAGCTAAATGTATACTTTAAATAGCAAAAATAAAATCACTTGTTATACAGAATGGATCTTTCACATTATTATATTATTATGGTTATCATATTATCCTGTTTTTATACTAAGAGCATTTTAATATTTTAGTTTTTCAATGTTTACCAAATAGAGAAATGTGAAATACTGTGTAGATTAGTAGGCTACAGTGCTGCATTATACCATAACAGAATATCATGTGTTTTACATGTAAAAAGTAACTCTGAGTGTTAAATAAATGTAGTGGAGTAAAAAGTATGAGATTTGCCTCTGAAAAGTATAAAGTAGCATTAAATGGAAGTACTCAAGCTAAGTACAAATATGTCAAAAAAAGTTCTTATTAAGTTAACCTTGTTAATAATTAAGTAACCTTAAAGGTCACCTATCATGCTATTTTTAGGCAATAGCATAGGTCTCAGATATATACAAATATATAAAAAAAACATGTCTATGAAGTGTTTTGCTCAAAATACCAAACAGATTTCCATTCTAGCCATGCCTCTAATCCCTCTATTTCACTTCCTTTTTCAAAAGTGCTGATTTTATTCATAAAGCTTTAAAAAAAAAAAGGAAATTGATAAACAAAAGAGGGGCGGAGCTTATGCCTGCTCATGAGGGAGATTTTAGCGGCAGATACTGCGGTGATGAAACACCATATCATGGATTATCATGGATTATTTCTGAAACAGTATGGAGCTCAAAGGCTTTCTCTCTTGCCGGTTATACCACAAGGTGAGTTCCTTTTTATTTCCTGCTTCTTCACACACATGCTCTCCAGTACAGGTTAGCTCTGAGTGTTAGCGATGCTAATGTAAACACCGACCATATTACGTCCAAAACAGTCGGGCATTGTTTCTGATAGCAATGTTTCTGATAGTGCTGTGGGTCTGCATTGCCGACATGACGTCAAATCGCCGCAAAGCTGGATCAGCTCCGCTGTAGCCCCCGTTTTTAGAGATTTGGGTACAGAGGAAAAGAGAGAGGGTTTTATTTTCCGACGCTGCGTGAGTTCCCTGACACACCGGGGACACATATTTATGTATAAAAGACATAAAAAAGCGAGTCATGATAGGTCCCCTTTAAGGTCACCTATTATGCAAAATCCTCTTGTTCATGTATTGTATACACAAAGGCATGTCCCCTGTTTGTAAAGAGATTCTGAAAGTTTCAGGAACAAAGATTCTCTCTCTTTTTGTCCTGATCCATTTATATAAAAACCTGTCTGAAAATGAGCTAATCAGATTTTGACCACTTTATGATGTCATAACGATTTTTTGGGTTGTGTAACCATTAGCCAATAACCAACCAAGGTAACACCGCCCCCCCACCTTATCACCTGAATCTCCTCCTAGAGCACCGTTGTGTTCTGTTTAACCAAATATCTCTCAGAGGGGCGTTTGGAGTGGCACCTTATTTGCATTTAAAGTAACAGACAGAGAATCAGCACTTTTGATACAGGGCTGAAACAGAGGAGATTATGGGTGCTGCAATGCATGATCTGTTGGGTATTTCGAGATGTTTTGTATATCTGAGACCTATAATATATTGATGAAAAACAGTACAATAGGGGACCTTTAATTGCATATCTCTTTCATTAGAATTAATGCATAATTTAATAAAACAGCCTGCAGCTGTATTGACTCTATATTTAAAACTTGTTGTTAATAATAATAATAATGCATTACATTTTTTGTTAGAGCACTTTTACAGGTGCTCAAAGCTTTACAATTGCATATTACACATATTAGACATGTACATGTCATTACTGTGGACATTACCCACAGGAGCAAATGTACAGGAGCAAAATAAAGTGTCTTGCCCAAGGACACAACGGCCTGACGCAGTGGCGGCCGAGGCGGGTTTCGAACTGGAGTTTACCAACGACCCTTGATCTGATGATCAACGCTCTAAGCACTGCGCCAAAAAACGCAATCTGTTGTTGATATGTGTCCCTGGTCTTGGTCCTCTTTAACTGCATAGAATGGTCAGTTGTCTTTTTTCATCAACAATTGAGGTTTTTTATTAATATTTGTAGTTTTCTATTTTTAATTTATTTAGGAAATGTACCTTCTGTAGTTTTTTCTATATTGAATACTAGGAATAACGTTCAGGGTTTTCAGATTTTATTGTAGAATGCAAACTCTTTCTAAAACGGAGATATTCCCCAAAGAAATGGAAACCCCTCAATGACCCTGATGATTTCTTAACACTTAACAGGCTCTATTTCTTCTCATAATTCAACACGTTCTCACTCCCAACTCGTCACATATTGACGGACGGTCAGGGCCAGGGGCGGACTGGGACTACAAATCAGCCCGGGACTCTCGACCGGCCCACTTCGGTAGCGCCGGCCCACCGCAGACTTGTATTATCACTGGTCCCACCATTGTAACCACTGGCCCGGAGCATTCGTCCAAAAAAATGAAGAAAATGAACACATTTGTTGCAATAGTAATGTATGCACTAACTACATTACTAGTATACTTGTACTACAACATTTGAATCATCAGTTCTCATTTTCCTCAATTGTTCATATTTGGTTTATTAAAATAATGATATTGTGGTCATTGTTAAAAAATGTCTGCTATTATGAGTATTATTAGTTGTATAATGCACTTTCTGCCTTCCTGTCATTAGGAGTTAGACATGTAATGGCCATGTAATTGATTTGATTAGAGCCTTCATTATTCTAAACTGCTGGGACATTTCGCCAATACCTTTATATTGTCTACTCTTCACTTACTTGTCAGCATAGGTCGGCATTGATGTACAGAGCCGACAGAAGACCTTGTTTGTATTGGCATCATATTGAGAGGTGCAGCCAGTGACGCGTCCTAAAACCAGGAAGTAAGCTGCTGGTTCCCTCGACGAAAGCAATGGGATTTCTCCACAGGGTTTTGGATAATAGCTGGAAATAAGGTCTGTGGAAAACAAACCTGTTTGATAAATGCACGTTTTGTTCAGCCGGATAATCTCCACATGTCTACCCTACTTTTATAATTTTCGAATCATAAATCTAATCGATAGATTACAAAAGGGTTTTAGGATGCGTCACTGCACCACTCCATCGATCAAGCTGGCTGAAACTTTCTCTCCCTCTTCTTCTCATGCTCCCTGTCACTCTCCTTTAACTCCTCCGGTGACTTTCTTTTATTTGAAGATTGTTTTTTGCACGGCGCTTGACCGGTTACCGCTGGTATTAAAAACATTTGGCGAATGGTTAGGTGGTTAGGTGGCGCGATAATCTGTAGTGAAGGAGCGCGCTCCCGCTCATGGGAGCCTGCTCGCGCTGCGCTCCGCAGCAAACAGCTGTTTGCTTTTCACCCAACAACGACAACCGACTCACGGAACGCTATGTTGTAGCGTTAATAAACGAAACAATTTAACTAAATTGCTAGTCAAGATACCAATACCACAGGAAACATTTTTTTAAAGCAATATTTTGCTCGAGCGGGCAAGTGGAAAGTACGTTATGCTGGCCCGGGGTGTCTAAATAGTGCTTCCGGGCCAGCGGGCCATTTAATGTCGAGCCCTGCCGGTTACCGGCCGGCCCACATCGTCCGACCGGCCCACTTCAGTACCGGCCCACCGGGATTCGTCCCGAACGTCCCGATGGCCAGTCCGCCCCTGGTCAGGGCCCCTCCCCGTCACACCATTACGCACAGGGTACCCCTTGAGCGTCAGTTTTCAACGGGCAGGGCGTCCCATATACCTTCATAGACCTCCCATAGCGTTGATAATAGACGCCATGAGAACGCTCCCCGCTGCATCGAAATTCAACGAGCGCATTCCATTCTCAGCAGAAGCATATGGTGCGAGACGTCATTGCAACACATTATGCTCTTTATATATAGTTTATAAAAAATGAAAATTGTAATTTTCATACTCTGTGATAGGCCTCGGTGACAGTTAGGCAAAAATAATAGGCTTATAGGCATTTTTTTCTCTTGTGTGAAGTTGAGATGATGCATGCTGGGTAATGAATTATTTACATGGATGTAGGCTACGCAATATAGCGAGAAATTGTTCTACAATTGTGTCTGATTTTTCAATACATCACATTTAACATGGCATGACGTAGTATACCTTTTGTACAGATGATCAGTCTTCCTGAAACTTTTTGGCCGGCTTTTATAGAAATTAATGTAATCGTAGCTGTCACTGCCCGATCTGTACTGCGCATGTGCGAGATGGTCTCCGGACGGCACCCAAGATGGACACTTGACACAGTGGCTTTTAGCAAAGCTCAAAAATAAAACTCGAGAGAGATGAGTTATTGTTATTACAACGTGACTTCACTATTATTTAACAACTCTTTTTATTGGGTTCTTTTATTTGGGGTTAAGTACATTGTCAGAATAAGTGAGAAATAGATTTAACTTCTGTTAGACAGCTATCATACTGAATACATATTTAATGTGAATGTATGCAAAGATGTATGGCACAGATCGGGCAGGGGGACGGATCGGGTCTGTTTTCGGCGCGCACGTGTGACGTCATCTATGCGACGATTTTAAAGCACATCGCGATTTCCAGCAGGTAAGAAGCACCACAAACATGTGACAGAAATCAAGAAAATCATTCAATATTCAGCACAAACAGCCTTATGTCGGCCCAATAAGTCATTGTTGGAACATTTGCAAGTGCAGGGTAGTCGTCTTTTTTGCCTGTAAATCATTTTAAGACATTAAAAAAAGAAAGTATAACTTACTAATGTGCAGAATGCTCGCTATCTGCTACTAGCTATTAGCTAGCACAGATTATGTTGCCTTTGAAGTTTAACTTTATTCAAGAGGTGGCAAACGACTGACACCTGTTATTGCATGAAATAATATTTGTGATTGTTTATGAATGTAGTTATTATGTGTCAGTTATGTATTTTTAATGGGGTTATTTATTAAATGAATGACACAACAATAAAACAAATTAAATAGTCATAAAAGTTCACTAATGCCAAGCCCCTTAAATATTAGGTGACCTGTATTTTTCAGATAAGATCTTACAGGTTACAGTCATAGGGAATTGTATGGTTACCATTAATAATGTATTTCCAGTTACCTATGTTACCATAGCTCAAAACCGTCTTTTTGTAATCATGCTATGTTGATATTGTTCATTCTTTGACAAATATAACGCCACTTTAAAATGTAAGTTGTTCAATTCCTAATAATTTTTTCTTCTCTCAACAGATTCTTCTAAGTTATTCTGAAAGCTAAACTCCATTACAAGCTATAATAGCATCAAAACAAAGGCACTTTTAAGAGCCACGTCCCCATCGTTTCCCTGTCCTTGCTGTTGTGAAATTGTCCTATCTCTGTTGCTGTCTGTGTATCTCTGTCTGTGTAGCTGTGTATCTTATCTGTCCATCTTTCTGTTGTTAGTCCCTTTCTGTGTTTTTGTCACCATGAGTGATTCAGAGCACCAAGATCCATTTAAGAGCCTTGATGATTTTCTTGATAATGAAGAACTCAAAAATGAGATGGAAAGTCTTGATGACTTGATTGGTGAGCTTCAGGATGAGGAAGTAGCAGCACCAGTCCAGACACCTGAACCAACCATAAGGTGGACAAAGAGAGACATCGATGGAAACATAATATATTCGAGGCCAAGAACAAGCAGTAACCAGTCAAATGAGGGTCAGTATTGTTTATTATTGAAGATATTTAGGAAATCTAGATTATTTAGTCACCGGTGAGTTTATCAGATAAAGGAATATATGTATTCCTTGATGTTTAGGTATCAACATCAAACTAAAACCAACGATAACAATTGTTGACAATCAAAGTCAATTCATTATGATTATGGGGCCTGAACTGAAAATATGACTGCTTGTGCATTGTGCAGTTATGGGTAACAGGGACAATTTAATTTTAATCTTGTTGATTTGTTTTTGGTACAGCTGGTCCTTGTCGGAGAATTGATCCTCCCTTGGATGCGCCTGACACTAGCCATGAGTTGGCCTTTGCTCCAGACTGTTGGTATGTATTTTGTGTCTACGTAAGCCCTAAACAGAATATTTATATATTTGTATCTGATACTGAATCGGAAATGTAATGTTTGTAATCATAATATATTCATTTTGTAATAATAATAATAATGAGCAAAGCTGTTGCACCTCTCAAAGCCATAGCCACTCAGTACACTTTGATATTTTATAAAATAATATTGATTTATCATTCTATCTTTTTTAACAGAGTGTTTTCTACGAGATCTCCAGCACTCATTGAGCGATACCTCAGAGGATGTCCAGGAAGCATCAGCCCGAACTGCTCCTCTCATGGCTTCCTTGGATTGGGCAACTAGAAAAAGTCTCTTTTCAGAAAGGTGGAAGACAGAGAGGCCACGTCTGGTGAACAACACAGTGGAACAAGAAAATGTGGCAAACCACATCTGCCAACAGTGTGGGAGCAACCCAGCTGCTGTTTGTTGCAGTGACTGTCGACCAAGCCCCTTGTTCTGCGCTGAATGTGATGTAGGCATGCACACCAGACATGTCCTACACAACAGAGATGCCATGATAGCGGGATTCTTCCAGCCACTGCCTCCATCAACTGCTGTTGTGGATAAAGCCCTTTCCCGTTGTAACGATCAACTATCTAAAATAGTTGTGTTAATTAAACGCACAAGGGGTTCTTGAATGAAATAATATTATAAAGGTAAACAGAAATAATAAACGGATAATCTGCTCCTTAAACAATATAAACAGAGACAGATTTCATGCATGGATCCATTATATTGACAGTTTTTCAGCCAAACAACACAAACAAAATTAAACAGTCCGCTCTGCGATAAACAACAAGTGTCTTTACTGCCTAATCCAGGCTATTGTTCATTGACAAAAAAAGGCTGTTGCTCCTGCGCCCGTCGGCGGCAAAAACAGAAATGTTTGTAGGCCTTTTCAGGCTATATTCCACAAAAAAAGGAAACACGAGGTCCAGCGTGGCACAAAGGAGCGATCTCACCCTGTGTCGGAGAGAATCTCTCTCTATCTGTGTGCGTCCTCTCCAAGGAGACGTGCTTCCAGGTCGGTCGATGCAATATCCACATACGGTTACTTTCAGTTACTTCCCCATTGCATTTAAACATATATACATGCTGAGAAAACGTAACTATCCCGCTGAATACCCGCATTCACCACACACAGGCTTCCTCCTCCCGTGAGAACCACCTCTGGCATCCTGTTGACGCGCCCACTAAAAAGCCTCTGGGCGCGCCGAGACAGGTGAATATGCAAATGAGGCTTGCAGAACCACACCCTCAAACCTTACATAAAAGTGGACATTTAACGACTAGTTGCGAGGATAATACACATGCATCATAGATTTTCATTTCATTTGAATCTAAACTACATGCCTTAACCCTTTCCCCTGCCCCTACAGTTTATAAGAAACACTGAGATCAATCTGCGACTGTCACAGTTCCCCCCCCCCCCCACCGGAGGTATGAGGGGCTGCACCCCGAAGTAGGGCTTTAGGTTGACCACATTGATAGTGTCTATTTTCTTGTTTTGGCCGTTCCACTTTATCTGGTAATTGATAGGGCCTAATTTTCTCACCACTGTAGCTGGACCCGACCATTTAGGCGCAAGCTTTGCTGAGAAGTTCTCTGATGCTTTAGAGAGTGGGTGAGTGCGGACCCAGACCAGGTCTCCCAGCAGGAGTTGTGCACCTCTCCTGTGGGTATTATAATACTTGGCATACTCCAACTCTCTTTTTTACTTGTTCCACCATCTTTTGTTGTCTTTCCAGTAGTGTATATGTAGGTTGATGAGGTGGAGGGCTGATAAACCTCTCCAGTGGGCCTTTCAGGGATCTTCCGAGTGCCAGGACTGCAGGTGTTTGCCCTGTTGTCTCATGATAGGCAGCATTGACGGCAAAACGAAATTCCCTGATCCACTGATCCCAGTTATTATGTTGTGTCCCCACATAAGAAGCAATCATCGTTTTGATGGTCCGGTTGGACCGTTCCGTGAGATTGGCTTGAGGATGATAGCTGGTGGTGAACTTTTGTGTGACTCCCCAGGATTTGCATAGGTTGGCCATTTCATGGCCAGTGAACTGCGCTCCCCGATCAGAAACCAACTCACGTGGGACACCGAAACGGGTAAAGATCTCATCTTTCAAGATGGCGACAATTTTGTGAGTTTTGCTGTCTTTTAGGGGAAACATCTCAACCCACTTTGTGAAATAATCCACAACCACGAGGAGAAAGCAATTGCCTTTTTTACTGCGGGGAAAAGGTCCCATAAGATCAATCGCCCGCTTTTCCCAGGGCTCCTCCACCGGGGTAGGCTGCATGAACCCCGCTGGTTTTTGATTATCCACTTTGTAGGCCTGGCAGGTGTTGCAACACTTTACATGGGCCCATACATCCTTCCTAACAGACTGCCACCAAGCCACCTCAAGGATCTTAAGAAGAGTCTTAAGTCTGCCCAGATGTCCACTCAGGGGATGGTTGTGGAAGTACTCCAGAAAAGATATTACTCGACTCTTGGGAACCACTAGCTGATATTTGTCTCCCCCTACTCTCACAGGCGACCGCCGATACAGAATACCTTGTAACACAGTGTACCCTATCCTATCTGGCTTACAAATGGCAGCAGACTGTTTTGCCATGTCACTGATTTCAGGGTCCCTTTCCTGGGCCTCTCGTATGTCTGATAGGGTGGTTGGTAAGTCAGAAGCACAGTGAGAGGTGTTTGAGGCAACATACGCAGTTGCGGATGGATGTGCAATCGCTCTGGACAGAGCATCAGGCACTATGTTGTGCAGGCCTTTTCTGTATTGGACCCTAAATTGAAATTGCTGGAGTCGTAAGATCCACCTAGTCAGCCGGGAAGAGGTCTTCGGACAGTTGAAGGCCCAAGTCAGAGCAGCATGGTCTGTGTATACCGTGAATTATTTTCCCTCAAGAAAATGTCGCCACTTTTCAACAGCCCATACAACAGCTAGACATTCCTTTTCTGATGTGGAGTAGTTACACTCGGCTCCTCTCAATCCCCGTGAAGCATAAGCTATCACCTGCTCCCCTTCCTTAGTAGCTTGGACTAAGACTGCACCCAAACCGGCGTCACTAGCGTCTGTGTGCACCTCAAAAGGAATTGAGTGGTCAGGTTGTGTTAGGATGGGAGCGCTGACCATAGCCTGTTTCAAGTGTTCAAAGCTTTGCTGGCATTCTTCGCTCCATATCCACTCCACCGCTTTCCTTGTCAGGCGATGCAAGGGAGCTGCCATATCTGCAAAGTGGGAAATGAATTTGTGGTACCATCCCACAAGTCCCAGAAATCGTTGCAGTGACTTGATATTTGTGGGAGTAGGATATTCTTTCACTGCCAGTGTTTTCTCTGGATCCACCTGAACCCCTTTCTTAGACACTATATGGCCAAGGAACTTTAACTCTTGCTGGAAGAAATAGCATTTCTTCAGATTGAGTGTCAAATTGGCCTCATGAAGTCTCTTCATCACAGCGTTTAAATCGTTGAGGTGCTGTTCTTGTGAGGGTGAAAAGATGATTACATCATCGATATACACAAAGCAGATTTTCCCCTCAGCTCCCCCAGGACCTTTTCCATCAATCGCTGGAAAGATGCACCGGCGTTCTTCAGCCCAAATGGCATGCACTTGAACTGGTAGAGGCCTATCGGTGTGATTACTGCTGTCTTGGCCTTGCTTTCCTCTGACATTGCCACTTGCCAGTAGCCAGATTTTAGGTCAAGGGTACTGAAGAATGAGGCTCCATGCAATGACTCCAACAACTCATGAATAAGTGGCATAGGATAGGCATCTTGCAGAGTCTTAGCATTTAGAGGTCGAAAGTCAACACAAAATCTTGGGGACATGTCGGGTTTTGGCACCAAGACCACTGGGGATGCACAGGCTGACTGTGACGGTTCAATAATGCCATCCCTAAGCATCTGCTCTACCTGGTCTATTATGATCTGACGCTTGTGGGGTGATACCCTGTATGCTTTGCAGCGCACTGGAACCTCGTCTGTAGTAAATAGCTTGTGCTCTTCTACCTTAGTTTTCCCTAAACTGCCTGAACACACCTTTGGCCAAGCCTTCAAGATTTCTCTAACCTCTGGTGGATGAGCTGAAAAATCTGGGGCAGTCTCTTCTTAAATAGGAAATGACTTGGATAGCGGAAGTGCTATTATGAGACTAACACTGGGGGGAGCTGCCGGGATCTCAGCAGGTTGAGAAAGGAATGAATAGAACACGTAATCCCTTGGCCCCTTTACTCCATATGTTCGGTCTCCCAGGTTGATAATGGTTGAGGTCTTGGTAAGGAAGTCCAAGCCTAGAATGATGGGGAATGCCAGGTTGTTGTCATCGATGATGTATGTTTCTAGCGACCACATCATGTCATGCCAGCCGAAGAGTAGCTGTACCTTTCCTAAGGCTCCATGGCATGTCTTCCCGTCAGCCAGAGCAAAGCTTTGGTTCTCACTGGGCTTCAGTTGCTCCCCTTTCCGGACTACATCCAGCCATTGGCTGTGCCGCATGAGGGAGTATATACATGCAGTGTCAAAAACAGCTTTACACTGCATTCCTCATACTCCCTCATGCGGCACAGCCAATAGATGTGTGCGTTTAATTAACACAACTATTTTAGATAGTTGATCGTTACAGATGGTGGCCAGTATGGGGAATGAAATGTGATTTAAAAATCTGATATTATTTAAAGAGAACATTTTTGGAGATTTTGAAACTGCCAATTGGGATATTTTTGTTTACTGAGACACTAAGCCTATGGGTTGAATTGTATTGATTGGATGAGAAAAGAAAAACGTGTTCTGTACTTGTGTAAAATAACCATAGTCAGGCAATGGCTTCTGAAGAAAATGTACAACAGAATATGGAAGCACAATTAGAAGAGAATGAGTCTGAAGAAGGTAGTATAGTACAGGAGACCAGTGGGCAACACCATGAAAACAGAGGTGATGCATGGATAACAAGAAGAAAATATATTACTGATATTACCTCTTTGATCGGTTCTCTTTATATATCTGATGCAGAGCAGGAGGAAAGTATAGGAGATTGGGATAGTACATCTTACCATGCATATCCTGCTCTTGCATCTTTCTCCACAGACTTGGGAACAGTTATAGAGAGAGTTAACTCCCTTGAGGCTGATTTTAGAGATTCAGTTAATAGTGCGCTAAACCGAGAAGATAGCATCAGAGGCTTCGTGAATAAGAATGTTGAAGCACTGGAGCATCATGTTATGTCAACTTTGAAAACTTTGAAGAGAAACTGGTGGACTGTTTACAAAGGCGTGATGAAAAATGGAAGGCAGAAATCCAAAGGCTGAAGCGCGCAAGCCTCCCTGCTGTCCATAGGCCCTTGGTCAGTGCTGGTGCTAGTTTTCAGAAGTCTTATGGTCGCACCACTCCAGCTCAACCACCTCTCATTAGTGCCTCTCACACCCATGCTCCTTCTCTTGGTACTGACACTCGGGTGTCGGGTCCTCATATTAGTTATCCCACTCCTACTCATTCAGTTCCCTCTGCTGGGGTTTCTGTCGGCCGAGCAGAGATTGCCAGAAGAGAACTTGATACTATTGATGCTGCGCCACACGGCAGGACATCATTCACTGAACTACTTCCGCTGGGACAACCACCAGGAGTCATTGACAATATAAACCCCATCACACCTGTAGGAGCAGTATACCGCCATCCAAGCAGTACGCCGGTGGTGTATTCAAAGCCTGTCATTCATATGGAGTTCCCCTCTTTTGGTGGTTCCAGGGAGGTTGGAGAGGTTTTGAACTTTGTGGATCGCTGTGAAACATTCTTTGAAGTTAGGCCATTAACAGATGCCGAGCTAATAGGGGCTTTATCTGGGGTTCTTAAGGGGCCAGCGCATAGTTGGTGGTGTGTAGCAAAAAGCACAGTACACAACTGGCCAGAATTCAAAGAAGCTTTTCATGCAGCTTTCCTACCTCCTGATTACCTCATGGAAGTGGAGGAGAAGTTGAGGGATATGGTGCAGTTACCTGAACAGTGTTTGAGGGATTTTGCCTATGATTACCGAGCCCTTTGTCTACGATGGAAACCCCGATATCACCGAGGCGGAGTTGGTGAGGAAAATACTCAACAACTGTAATCCCAGAATAGCTGGTTGCCTTCGGGGAACTGTCAGAACCGTGGACCAACTGGTGTCAATAGGCACATTAGTGGAAAAAGATTGCACAGCTGCAAAAGAATATTGGGGAAAAGTGGATCAACAAAAAGCAAAAGAGAAATTGAACAAAAGGCCCCAGGAAAAGTGGAGCGCTAAGAAACCTGCTGATGTAGTGACCATAGTGCAGCGAGGAAAGAGAAATCTATTAAGTCTCCTACATGTCCCCATACTGGCCACCATCTGTAACGATCAACTATCTAAAATAGTTGTGTTAATTAAACGCACAAGGGGTTCTTGAATGAAATAATATTATAAATGTAAACAGAAATAATAAACGGATAATCTGCTCCTTAAACAAAATAAACAGAGACAGATTTAATGCATGGATCCATTATATTGACAGTTTTCCAGCCAAACAACACAAACAACATTAAACAGTCCGCTCTGCGATAAACAACAAGTGTCTTTACTGCCTAATCCAGGCTATTGTTCATTGACAAAAAAAGGCTGTTGCTCCTGCGCCCGTCGGCGGCAAAAACAGAAATGTTTGTAGGCCTTTTCAGGCTATATTCCACACAAAAAGGAAACACGAGGTCCAGCGTGGCACAAAGGAGCGATCTCACCCTGTGTCGGAGAGAATCTCTCTCTATCTGTGTGCGTCCTCTCCAAGGAGACGTGCTTCCAGGTCGGTCGATGCAATATTCACATACGGTTACTTTCAGTTACTTCCCCATTGCATTTTAACATATATACATGCTGAGAAAACGTAACTATCCCGCTGAATACCCGCATTCACCACACACAGGCTTCCTCCTCCCGTGAGAACCACCTCTGGCATCCTGTTGACGCGCCCACTAAAAAGCCTCTGGGCGCGCCGCGACAGGTGAATATGCAAATGAGGCTTGCAGAACCACACCCTCAAACCTTACATAAAAGTGGACATTTAACGACTAGTTGCGAGGATAATACACATGCATCATAGATTTTCATTTCATTTGAATCTAAACTACATGCCTTAACCCTTTCCCCTGCCCCTACAGTTTATAAGAAACACTGAGATCAATCTGCGACTGTCACACCGTTGTGGTAAGTCCTAGTTAGTGAATGTACAATATATATCCTATTTTTGGACTCAGCTCATTTATTTGACAATTTAATCAATGCATTTTTGTTTCTTTTTTCTTTATTATGCATTTATGTTTTACATTGAGCTCAATGTCAGTAAGCTTCCTGAGCATCTCTTCAGTACTAAAAGCGTCTTTGAGTTTTGAAAAGCGCTATAAAATTACGATTTATTATTATTATTAGTACTTTTGCAGCAATGTACTTCATGGCTATTGAGCCTTTATTGAATTTACTGAAATTTAGGCTCATGCTCTTTAAGTGGTTTGATACATCTGTCTCACATTTTCTAAGTCGATACAAATGATCTCATTTCACTTGAACAATCTTTTTTAGTTCGACTTGTGCCTGTGGAAATGCCTGCAGAAATCTGTAGTTGTTCGCCAGTTTCATTGAGGGTCAACCCAGGAAAGGCTGTTGCTGTGGTGACAGTTAATGGTAAGAATGCAAAGAATTGTATTTAATTCTATTTTAAAACGATGTCTCGTTTCAATAGATGTGTATATGTGACATATTTACATTTACACATGACTTTTGTCTACATTTTAAATTAGAGGGGATGTGTTTTGTTTTTTCTAGGAAGACATGATCTTAGCATGCCTGAGTTAAGTTGTGACACATGTCATGTCACTTGGGCTGCTGGAGTGGACAATCTCATCCGGAGTGGATACTGGCCTGCTACACTGCAATTTGCCACAATTTATGACACGGATATCTTTCATTCATTTGAAGAAATGAAGATGGCAGTGCCAGGACTGTCCTGCCAAGCATTTTTAAGAATGCTTGATCAGAGAACTTTGCGCTTTGGCCGTGTGAGTATTAAAATGATTTATCCCACAGTATTGTTCATCCGTTTGTTTTGTGGATTTAAAAGCTGTGTGCTACTGGTAATGATTATTCGCTGCTGACTTATTTGTTTTGAAATAGGCTGGAAAGATCTCAGCAAACAGCTTTCATAAAAGTTTTTTTGAGTGGGAAGCTGTGCGGTTTGAGGTGGACAACATCGTTAAGGAGGAGCGCTTCATCTGTCCTGCCTGCAGCCCGGATATGCTTGCAGTTTCAGTGGATGGAAACCGCAAGCATTACCGGTACAAGAATTCAGCTAGGTACAAACATTTCTATATTTTCATTTATTTCAGTACACTGACACGCATGACATTAAGGATTTTGGGAGATGGCCCTGTGGGCCATCTAAGCTAATTTACAGATGGCCCTGAGCCCAATAGAGATTGCCCTGAAAAATGAGCGCGGACGAAATGACGCACGAAGGGTTTGGGGGGACTCCCCCTAGAACATTTAGATGTTTGCAGGTCTTAGATGCTGTCTGGTGCATTCTCTAGACTGAATTATAAGATGAACCACCACAATATTATATTGTACAATTTCAAGTTTATTCTTCATTTCACTTGTTTGTTTGTTCTTGTTTGTGTTTGCTCGCTTGCATGCCCTGCATTGCTATAAGAAATACTTAAGTTGTTGGTCAAGACACTTTCCATCTGATGAAGGCAAATGCCTTCCCAGATGTAAAAAAGTAGAAAACATTACATTCAGTTATAACTGCCAAAACAAACATTATTTACACTATTATGGCCCCTGTTAAAAATGTTTGTAATGTTATCTACTGTAAATTGGTAGAACGAATGCCTCCTCATCCGGAAGCTGACCGAGCAGACCCGAGGAGCCGAGCGCATCCGCGAAGCACACAAAATGGTGACGTCAGAGTTCCCGTTAGCCGGCAAATCTAAATCTCTTCGGTCAAAATGTCCGGTCAAAATAATTTCCCTTTAGCGCAATACCGCTTCATTTGCGCCACTTATGTGACAGACAATAAGAGTATGTGACAGACAAGAATAGTCAATTCTAATGTCTAAAGAAAGAGATGTCCTGTATGGGTTGATTGTGCGTTGATCTGTTGGTAATGCCTCAGGATTCCGGTGGGCATGTAAACAAATGCATAATGCTGCACTATACTTTGTGGCCTCACCCAGTTGCATAGCGACACTTATTGTTTAGGTGTCTTTTAATAAGCAGGTAGTCATATCATTAGCTAGAACTAGCTGGATCTGATCGATATGGACATAAACGCGAGTGAAGTCTAATCTGACAGGAGAGAGATCAGCTGCTGCTAACGAGTCGACACGCAGCTCTGCATGATCACATGCAGCGGTGAGCGGACAAAACACACACTTCAGGTTAGAATATCACACGTAGCTATTTTAATTACCTCTCAAACTACCTAAACTAGTTATAGATATGTTTAGTTTTACTGTCGGGTCACTCATTACTGGATCCGCGAGCTGCATGATACTGGCATAATAGATTGCCCGATCGGGCAATCAGCAGGTGAGGCTTCATTGCCCGAGCTAAATACTAGATGGCCCCGGGCCATCGGGCAGTCCTTAATGTCGAGCCCTGACACTACACTCTAAGATACTCTAACCTTTTTCTATTTAGATCTGAGGAACAGGCCATCTTTGAAGGGGTCTTCATATCCAAGGATGAAGATGTAGCAAGATTTGTGGACTACATTCACAGCACAACCAAACATGTACAATTAAAGACTACAATTATTATATTAACAAAAATAACTAACTATATACACTATAAACTTCTACTGAAGAGTTGGTCTTTGGATCAATTTAATCAACCATCATCCATATGTTAGGAAGAGGTGTTTGTGGAGGGGAGTGGTCAGCAGCCAGAGAGACCTCCAAAAGATCCAGCAGCAAGTTAGACTAGTTGGGCCTGGAGCTTGCGGTGTGTCGCCATGGAGTGCTGCTCTGTGCACTGAATATGTACAGGGGAGAAATATTTGCCTATCCCAGGGGTGCCCAACCGGTCGATCGCGGGGAGATTCCCAGTCGATCGCGAGATGTGTCTAAAAATAGAACAACAACATTCTGTTAATGTCCTGTAACATAATCTTCCTGTGCCAGAATAATGCACTTGAACGCATCAAAGCTTTGTGATTGGCCGGCGTGACCCCATGTGTCGGGGCGTGGCTGGTGGGCAGTGGGCACTATTTCGCTGACGTTGTCCGTGTCAACAGGAGTGGCAGTCCGCACACACACAAGACCGCAATTACGGCAGAAGCCAAAAAGCCCAAAATATATAATGTTCACTCCGAGTGGGAGGATGATTATTTTTGTATCTATTCCAATTCAAAGTCCATCTGTCTCATCTGCAATGCGAGCGTGGCTTTATCGAAGAAGGGTTATTTAGGAGCGGCATTTCAAAACAGTGCACAAACGCTATGAAACGGAATTCCCTCCCTACACAGCAGTCAATTTTCACCAGGCCCAACAACAAGAGCAAGGCTGCTACCAGAGCATCTTATCGTGTCAGTCACGTTCTTGCGAAACACATGAAGTCTTTCAAAGACGGCAAAGTTGTGAAATAAGCTTTCCTGGAGGCTGCCGACGCGCTTTTTTGGGACAGTAAAAATAACAGTAGCATTTCAACAGGTTTTTGATATAATAAAAACTCAAGTTAGATACCGTTATTAATCAGCTGTAAGTTTTAGTTTGTTTGAACTCATTCATTATAATTATTGTACAAAATGGTATAAGAATGCAAACTTAAATTGATTATAGTCTATTATCAATTCAGGTTAAGAAACTAGTGTTGCTTGCATCCTATTTTAAAGGCATTTATTTTTATACTCTACTAAAATGCAACAAAAAAAGGGTTTGATTCTATTTTGTCTTTTTTATTGCACTTTGGCAGCAGATTCCTGTGTAGCTTCAGATCTGAGTTGTCTTATTAGTAAGCCTAATTTATACTTTTGTAGCAACACTATTTGTATATAATGGCAAAGAAAGGGTTTAGAGTATTTTCTTTTTTCCCTGTGTCATATGTGGCAGCACTGTTCAATGTTTCTTGAAAACATTACCCACTGTAGTATGTGACGTGTGAATACACTCCAACTCTGTATCAACAACACTGGTGTGTAACTTCAGTTAAATACTTGTATGTGTGTAGATTAGAAAGAGGTAAGATAAAGGATCTGCAGTATTTTATGAAGTATTAATCGTACAAAGGTCAGTTTTATTCAAGTAGAAGTGTGTATTTACCTGGTAGTAGGCTGTCAGTAATGGCTACACCTCTCTATTTGGACTGGTAGATCTCGGCAGACTGGCAACTTTAAAAGTAGCTCTCGGTTCAAAAAAGGTTGGGCACCCCTGCCCTATCCCTTGTACTTGCAAGAAAAGCTGGCCAGCAGGAATATAACTTTTTTTTGTATGGATGTCACATGTAAATGTTGGCCCTTCCTTCAAAAAGTTACAAAGAGCTGCCCAGAGCTCCAGCACCTTCTCCAGATAAGGCCCTTCCTCTCGGTATTTCATGCCAAAGCGTCGGAGACAGGCTTGTAGTTATTAGACTTTAATAACTAGTATTTGAAGACAGATGATAACAGGTCAAGTACACTTCGTGGGTTCTACCGCACACTCCACTCACACTTATTTCCTAAACCAACCACAAGATATAGCACTGTCTACGTCACAACTCCCCGCCCTCCCCACCAACCACAGGCCCGCACCTCAGCCACCATCACGGTGCAGCTCTATGATTGACAGAGAGACGGGGGATGCCTAAGTGACACCCTGAGTAGCCTATCAGGATCGCTACACTACCCCCCCACTACAAAGTTCCTCGCCCACGAGTAACATATAAAACACAGTACAAAACACTCCCCCCACCCTCTCCAGCTCACTGCAGGGACTACCCCACTGGCTGTCCCCAACCAAACCAGTAGCCTTTGAAAACACAGAAAACCCACCACAATCCCAGCCCTCTATAGTCTCTACCCCCCCACTACAAAATTCCTCGCCTACGAGGAACAACTAAACACAGCCCCACACTACACCTACACACTGAACTTTGACTAGGAAGAACTGGGTGGACTACCGTCCCTTCCAGTGAGACCAGGGCGCATTCTTGCCCTCTACAGGAGATGGGGGGTCTCACTATAACCTTACTACCACACAAAGTCTCTGAAACGACCCGGGGGTCGTGTCTGCCTTCTCGGCAGGGGGGCTGGGGTTGCCGGATCTGGCCCAGGCGCCGAAAGACTGGGGGGACTCTCAGTCCTTGATGGGGGACTGCTGCTCTGTCCGCCGGGGGGTCTGCGGAGGGATGTCGATGGGACGTCTGTGTGTCCCGAGGTTCCTTCGGTCTGTGGGGAAGCGACGCCTCTGTACGGAGCCAGCCTGTCTCTGTGGAGCACCTCTTTTCTCCCCTTTGGTGGCAGCTGCACCCTGTAGACCACTTCCCCCACCCTCTCCAGTACTCGGCAAGGACCCACCCACTGACTGTCCAACTTTGGTCACCGGCCTTTCGTTCGTTGTGGGCTGTAGACCCAAACCAGTTCCTCGGCCCGGAAATGCTGCCCTCTGGTCCTGATGTCGTAGTTCCGCTTCTGTCTCACCGCAGCACTTTTCTGCTGCTCGCGGGCAAAGGCATGAGCGGACTCAAGCCGGTCCTGCAGCCTCCTTGCGTACTCAGGACCAGGAGGCGTGTCCAGGGAATCTGGTGGCCGACCAAACGCCAACACCGCAGGGGTTCGAAGCTCTCTCCCCAGCATGAGGAGGGCCGGCGAACAGGCTGATGACTCCTGGACTGCAGATCGACATGCCATGAGCACCAGGGGCAGATGCTCGTCCCAGTCGCGCTGATGCCGCGACGTGAGGATGGCCAGCTGCTGTCCCATGGTGCGATGAAATCTCTCTACTAGTCCGTCGCTCTGTGGTCGCAGGGGGGGAGGTGCGTGTTTTGTGAATGCCCAGTTGAGAGCACATGGAGGTGAACACCCGGGACTCGAAATTCCTCCCCTGGTCACTGTGCAGGGTCTCCGGTACTCCAAACCGGCTGAACATGCCGGACACCAAGGCATCCGCGACTGTCTCTGCTTCTTGGTCAGGGAGCGCATACGCCTCTGTCCACTTTGTGAAGTAGTCTATGGCCGTGAGAACGTAGCGGTTACCCCTGTTTGACAAGGGTAGCGGCCCCACCACATCAACCGCTACTCTCTCCATCGGGTCCCCGATGGGAGATTGTTGCAGCAGAGCATGGGAACGCCCCGGGGGGCCCTTCCGTGCCGTACACGGATCACAGCGGCGACAGAAGTCTTCGACATCCCTCCTGCACTGTCCCCAGTAGCAGCCCTGACGAAGGCGGCGGAGGGTCTTAGTGACTCCAAAGTGACCAGAGCCTGCCGTGCCATGCATGGCCTTGAGTACGACCTCTTGCAGGACCCTAGGAACCACCACTTGCCACCTCTTCTCCCCCGTTGCTGGCTCCTTCCACGCCCGCTGCAGTATGCCCTGACACAGACGTAGAGACTCAAACTGAGACCACAGCCCCTTTGTTGCTTTGGAGAGCGCTGCCACTTCCTCCCACAGTGGCCGCTGCTGCGACTCAACCCACTGCAGTACAGGCTGAAGAACGGCGTCCAGCTCTTGCTGTTGCTTCCACTCTGACGCATCCACTGTCTGGAGCTCCCTGCAGATAGCCTCCTCCACTTGCTGCGCTGCCGCACAGACGATGTCCTCCTCCAGCAGCTCCTTTTCGCGAGTCTCTCTCTTCTCGCAGTAGTGGCATCCGCCGGCGATACACGGCCGCCGGGAGAGGGCGTCTGCATTGGTGTGGCGCACCCCAGCCCGGTGCTCCACCCTGAAGTCGAACGATTGGAGCTCTTCTAGCCACCTGGCGACCTGCCCTTCTGGCTCTTTGAACGTCATGAGCCACTGTAATGCAGAGTGATCCGTCCTCACCGTGAACGCTTGCCCGCACAGGTAGTACTTAAAGTGCTTGATGGACAGCACCACTGCCAAAAGTTCTCTGCGGGTAACGCAGTATCGTCGCTCCGCTTTGTTGAACGCCCGGCTGAAGTATGCCACCACCCGCTCCCCCTCTGGTGTAGTCTGGGATAGCACTCCGCCTACCCCAACGCCGCTTGCGTCGGTGTCCAGGGTGAACGGCAGCCGGGGGTTGGCTGGGACGAGAACCGGGGCTTCGCTCAGGGCACGCCGAAGGCCGTCAAACGCTGCTTGACATTGTTCAGACCACAGGAACTCCCTGTCCTTCTGCAGCAGCTGGAACAGGGGTGCGGCAATGCAGGAAAAACCCTGTACAAAACTTCCTGTAGTACGAGGCCAGGCCCAGGAAACTCTTCAGCTGTTTCTGGTTGCGAGGATTTGGCCAGCCTGTGACCGCCTGCACTTTCTCGTGCAGGGTGCCGATGCCCTCCCCCCCCCCACTTTGTGGCCCAGGAAGGTGACCTCTCTCTGTAGGAAATGGCACTTATCTGGATGTAGCTTCAACCCAGCGTCTCTGATCCTCTCCAGCACCACTTTTAGCGATCCTAGGGCCGCCTCAAACGAGCTGCCATGCACCAGGATGTCGTCCAGGTAAACCAAACACTGTTGGCGGGGAATCCCATACAGCACCCTGTCCATCAACCGCACGAAGGTGGCCGGGGCATTAGACAGCCCAAAACTGAGGACCTTGAACTGCCATAGTCCTCGGCCGGTGCAGAAAGCCGTTTTTGGTCTGGCCTCCGGGGCAAGAGGGACTTGGTAATACCCGCTGCGGAGGTCCAAGGAAGAGAACCACGACAACCCTGCAACCAGGTCCAGGGACTCATCGATGCGGGGAAGGGGGTATGAATCCTTCTTGGTGACCCCGTTCACCGGTCTGTAGTCTGAGCACAGCCGCCAGCCCCCTGTCTTCTTCGGGACCATGACTACCGGTGCTGCCGGTAGTCATGGTCGATGATGCTGCAGACATCATCGAGCCCTCAGACAGCCCGTGGGCTGTCTGAGGGCTCGATGATGTCTGCCTGCAGCATGCTCTGCACTGCCTCGTCGCAAGCCTGCTGACGAGCCAGGGGGAGTCGCCGCGGGCGACACCTGATGGGCCGCGAGTCCCCCGTATCGATCTCGTGTTCCACCAGATGCGTTCGGCCCACCTCCTCCTCCTTCATGGCGAAACTGCTCTGGAACTCTAGCAGGAGCTGCCCCAATTGCTCCTGCTGCTCGGGATTCAGGCCGCCACAGTTCTTCCTCCACACCTCCAATACTGCAGACCAAGCCTCTTCTACCTCCGTCTGGGGTACTTGGGGGGGGGCTGTGCTCGGGTGGCGCAGCCCGGGGGTGACAGGTGGGGAATTGTCCTGAGTGGGCGTCACCGTGGGTACAGGAAGGGAGGGAGGGTTTGCTTCCGTGTCTAGGGTACTCACGGTGGGTGTCGGGGGTCTCCCCGCAGGCTCAGCAGGGTTGTGGACACGGGTCATAGTAATTACAGGCTCCCCCCCCGAAACTCACTGTGCCGGCTTGAAGATCCAGGAGGCAGCCGGTCGCCTTCAGAAAGTCCAAACCCAGAATGCACGGGTCCTGTACATCCGCTATCCACACGGGGTGCCGCACTTCCACTCCCCCCACCGACACAGACAGCACTCCTCTTCCTTTCATAGCCGCCAACTCTCCGGTGACTGTGCGCAGACGCACCGCTGTCGGCTCGAACATAGTCCCACTGGGCAACACCTCTGCTCTCACCAGGGTTACTGTAGAGCCTGTGTCCACCAGTGCATCACAGGGCACCCCCTCCACCTCGACAGGGACATAGCAGGAGTCCCCACCAGCACGGCCCACCGCGACGACAGGCTCCACTCCGGTGCTATCATCTTTTTCAGGAGGGCGTAGAGTCTGGCTCCCCCTGCTGTGCTGTCGGGCTCCCTCCGCGGATGTCTGAGTCGGTGGCAATAAAGCTGTGGTTTGTTTGGGGAGTCTTCGGGCTTGGTTCCACATATCCTCCTCTATGCGGGCCCCCCGTCGTTTCCCTGGCGTCGCCGAGCCTTGGTGCAGTCTCTGGCAAAATGTCCTGGCTGACCACACTCCCAGCAGACTCTGGTGTCTGGTCTGTGTGTTGGCTGCAGAGAAACAGCCCTTATCATCTCTGTCAGCTCGGTAACCCATGCAGGCTTCTCCTCCTCCCTGCAGCTCCTCACCGCCGGCGCCGCCGGCACTCCGCCGCTCCTAGCAGCTCCACTCCACACGTTCTCCCTCTCCACAGCCATCTCCAAGGCCGCCTGTAAGGACTGTGGATGCTGCAGCTGTACCTCGACCCTCAAGTCCGCAGGCCGGAGGGCCCAGATGAACTGATCACGTGCCAGCTCACTCTGTACTCCGGGTGGCATGTGTGCATACGCCCGCCGTGTCAGGCTCTCCACGTTGTTAGCCAGTGCACGCAGTGTCTCTCCAAACTCTCTACAGCGGTTACTCAACTCGTTCCGGAGCAGCTCTGGCGGGAAACACTGTCCAAACCGCCTCTTCAAAGCCCCCGCTAACGCTCCATAGCTGAGTCGGTCTACAGGGCTAAGTAGTAGCAGACATGAAAGAGCCTCTTCTGTGAGGCACAAAGCTAGCTGTAGTGCTTTAGTCTCTACTGACCACCCCCCGGCATGAGCAAGCAGTTCAAATTGGGCATGGAAAGCCTCCCAGTCTGCCTTACCCGAGAATTTGGGTGTTTTCACTGACCCGGCGGCGGCTGCTGCGGGTTGATGGGCGCCGCCATTGTTGTTTACCTCCAGCTTGGAAATGGCGCGAACTGTCGCAGAAGACGGAGACATTCCCGCGTCTCTAGCCATCCTCACCGCCGACTCTCTCAGGCGCTCTCTCACCTCCCGTGCACTCATGAACTCCTCTATCATGTCCTTCGACCACCCGCATGCTCCATCTTCCTCTTCATCACTACTGTGTTCCTGCTTCACTCCCATCTTGCTGAACTTCTCCATCCCCGCTAGCTTACCGGCTAGCTCCGTGACGCAGTTACGACTCTCGTCCGGATAGACGTCCCTTGTTCGAAAAGTTCACTTCTGACACCAATGTAACGTTCCCCAAGATGAGTCGGAGACAGGCTTGTAGTTATTAGGCTTTAATAACTAGTATTTGAAGACAGATGATAACAGGTCAAGTACACTTCGTGGGTTCTACCGCACACTCCACTCACACTTATTTCCTAAACCAACCACAAGATATAGCACTGTCTACGTCACAACTCCCCGCCCTCCCCCGTCCGCTCCACTAACCACAGGCCCGCACCTCAGCCACCATCACGGTGCAGCTCTATGATTGACAGAGAGACGGGGGATGCCTAAGTGGCACCCTGAGTAGCCTATCAGGATCGCTACAGTATTACTGTTTTTTCTATTTATTTTAATGCAGATTGCCATCTAACTGATATTTATAAAGAAATTAAACGTACAGCTTCGCTATTCACATAATTGAATTTATCGTTTGAAATGCTGTTCAAATGTAACTACAAATTAAATAAGAATAGTACAATATTACTTTATCCAAATTAGGATATATCTTACTGTAGTTCAAATTGTAATTAAGCTATGTGTCTAGACTGGTTATGTTGAAGTGAAGCTATTTAATAAGTGTTTTAATATGATGTATTAAACCACATACTTCTTTCTAAGCAGCAACATCAACAAAAACCACTACTGATGATGCTGATGCCTTGGCCAGCAGAATTGAGGTCCTGGTTGTAAGTATAAAGAGACGCTCTCATCGACTTTATAAAGATACAGACGGCAACAAAGCTCGTGCCAGGATCCGGTGCAAGATCAGGAAGGAGAAGGAGATCCTAACCTCGGTTGTAGAGAGTTACAACAGAATGGCTCCAAGTACAGAAACTCTTTGCTTGGAGAACATTTTGTCGGAGGAGGAGAATGCTTGGCCATGGCAGCTACCACACAGTGGTATGTACACAAGTCTGTATAAGTTTGACATATTTTTTACATAATTCTCTCTTCCATGAATGCAATCCAGACTCTGTCGATCTAACGACCAAGAGAAGGGCATTTGACATTGTCAATGCAATAAGGAGGCTTCAAGAGGAGAAGAAGATTGTTCTCATTGAGATGGACCACCATTGGAGAGCTCTTCAAACCCGTGGTGATGGCCTGAAAGAGCTGTCCTGCCTGCTTTCCAGTGAGACAATGCAAAGTATGTATTTCAATTATAAATGTCATTAACAGAAAAACATTATTACAATGATGTTATTCCAACACTGGCTTTATCTTATTGTGTTTTACTTTTAAGATTTGGGTCCTAAGTGAAGAGGGGTTGAGAGGTCTGCAGAGTACCATCCTCAGAAAGCGGCAGAACATCACAGAGAGGAAGTTGCAACCTTCAAGTTTTGTCTGGAGCAGAAAATGTGAATTTCTTGCACAGGGCTTCAGCTGATGACTATGACAGTGACTCTGATTCTGACATGGATTAGAAAACTGACCCCTTCAACTGGACGATTATGAATATGCTCCTTCAACCCTTCCGGCCCTCCCTGTGTAACCACCCCTTCCTGCACTCAGGATCTAAACAGCCAAGTTACTGCTATGGAACCAAACAGCTTTCTGAGATCAACTATTTTCCAGGATCCAAAATGGGCCTCCAACCAACCGTAACCATCATAATCAGTCATCAAAAGGCTCAGAAGAACTCTCCTGACACATCTTCAAACATTGTGAATAGCCTCTTAAAACCAAAATACCACTTAATTTGATTATAGATTACATTTTTAAGGTTAAATGCACATGTTTGTTTTTTTAAATACACAAATCATAATGCCTGTCAATATAAATCCTGCATACTGTATATAATGTATATAGAAATGTATTGTATTCATACTGTACATAATAATGTACTCCATGTATATCCATTCAATCTGTAAATCCTTGTTACAAGTTGTAATGTTAAGAACTAATGTAAACACTCAAAATTGTATTGTAACTAGGGCTGTCAGTCGATTAAAATATGTAATCGCGATTAATCGCATGATTGTCCATAGTTAATTGCGATTAATCGCAAATGAATGGCACATTTTTTATCTGTTCTAAATGTACCTTAGAGGAATATTTTTCAAGTTTGTAATACTGTTATCAACATATGAGTGGACAAATATGCTTTATGCAAATGTTTATTATCATTTGAACAATGACAAATATTCTGATGAATATTAAACACAACAACCTCTGAACATTATAAATATTTGGCTCAATTCAACCTGGAACCTCTCTCATACAATAATACAATACTGTGTGTGTGTGTGTGTGTGTGTGTGTGTGTGTGTGTGTGTGTGGTGTGTGTGTGTGTGTGTGTGTGTGTGTGTGTGTGTGTGTGTGTGTGTGTGTGTGTGTGTGTGTGTGTGTGGTGTGTTGTGTGTGTGTGTGTTGGTGTGTGTGTGTGTGTTTGTGTGTGTGTTGTGTGTGTGTGTGTGTGTGTGTGGTGTGTGTGTGTGTGTGTGTGGTGTGTGTTGTGTTGTGTGTGTGTGTGTGTGTGTGTGTGTGTGTGTGTGTGTGTGGTGTGTGTGTGTGTGTGTGTGTGGTGTGAGAGATCGTTGGAGCTATGTGCAACTCAAGGCATATGCTCTAACGGGAGCTGCCTGGACGCTGCAATCATGTTGCGCACTATCCGTGCTGAGTGTGCTGACTTCTCGTACAATGTCCCACTGTCTGGCTTCCTGCATAAAGTGAAGTGCTCGGCGCAGTTGTCGGCGAAATGTCGCTCCTCTGTTTTTATTTAAACAGCTCCTTATATCCGTTAGCGCAGCTAGCTAGCACCAGATGCTATCAACAACAATACACGTAAAGTCTCTCTCTCGCTCGAGCCACACATACACACACCCTCCCGGTCCTCCCGATGGCCAGTCGGTGCCTGCCGGTGAGCGTGGAAGTGTGGTCTGCCGCAAGCAGGCAGCATGAGCGGGGCTGTCAGCATCAGCTTGTAGATGGTATTTTAAACTCGATGCGCTCTGAAACTACGGGGCGGCCGAGGAAAAAAATACACATGCGTTAATCGCGTTAAAATAATTAGTGCCGTTAATTTTTTTTTGCGTTAGCGCGTTATTAACGCGCTAACTTGACAGCCCTAATTGTAACACTTTATTTATTCAGTTATATAAAGAAATGACATATAAGTTATATCTATTTCTGTATTATTATATTGAGAGCAATGAAAAAGCAATATTTCTATGTGTAGGCCTACACATAATTTGTAAATAAAGTGGATTGTTGCAACCGAGTCTCGCATCAAAATGTTTAATAGCTTTGTAGGGCTTTAGGGCAAAAACAAATAAGTTATTGTTTGATTTCGCTAGTTTTGGATGGCAGAAAGGCTACATTCAATCATGATAGTCAACCACCTGCTATACAATATAGAATCTTGCTAACACTTTATATTAAGGTACACAAACTCACCATCAACTAGTTAATTAACATGCATATTAGCAGTAGGCCTATAGCCTTTTGGCTCTTTATTAGTCATTATAAAACACTTAGAATGCTGTTATTCTACATGACCATATTCTACAAGTAATAAGCCATTAGTTGAGACTTTTTCCTCAATAACCCTCTAAGTAGTGCATATTTATTGCAAGTAAGGAAGTTGTTGTACATAAGTGTTGGTCTTAATATGCTAGCATTTGCATTAGCATTCGCGCTAGCGTCAGTATACATGCTAGCGTTAGCCATACTAGCCTGTACACATGCTTATCGCACATCTAGCATTAGCTATATTTACCTTGTTTACACTTAGTGGTCCTATGTGTTAATCTGTGTATGTTACACTTGCATTAAGTGCCTTGTAACTTATTTTTGTATAGTTTCACTCCGTTTGAATGTCAGTGGACTGCAAATAAGTCAATAAAGGAGCATGGCTGCTCATTCCCTGGCTCTCAAAAGAGTTTGGCTGGCTGTTTAATCTATGTTCACACTGAGACAGTACAACACAGAGAGAGAACAGTGCACCTATTGTGTAAATACATACAAGCAGGTCACACAGTATGATCACAAATACATACAATCTGTTTATTAAAAAGTACAGTTTGCATAGGCCGATGTGTTCTCAGCCTTGGAGAAACTTGACATGTTTTGGTATGTGTTTCTGAACCTCTCTTTTAACCCAGTCTCATGGCATTTCGTGTTCACCAACACGATTTTTAATCTATTGATTCGTGTTCACCAACACGATTTCCCCCTTTTTTTCGTGTTGCACAGCACGATTTTAAAAGCAATGTATTTCTACTGGTAATGTGTTTCGTGCCTGCAGCACGTCTTTTTCTCCGGTCGGGTCGTGGAAGACCGGAAGCTGTGTGTTTCATAAAAACATGTTCTTACTCAATATCAAGCCACAATTATTGCTTTTATTTTAAATCGTATAATTTCGGACTTTTGTTGCCATCTGTGAGGGAAATAAATGGGGCTCAGAGCCTCAGAATACTGAAATCTGTATTTTTTTAATCTTTTTTTCCTTCTAATTTGTTATTCTTTTCAAAATAACACACTGTTATTTACTCACCAATAACACACAAAAATCCTTGCTTTTATTTATTGGTTTAATTCCATAATCTCGGGCATTTTTGGCATCCGTCAGGAACTGAATTTCAAAATAAAAATAACCGGAAACAGACGTAGGCATTTCGAGCGATTACCCAAGATCCTCAGCTATGGTTTAAGCTCGCTGATTGGATGTTTTAGCCGCAATGCATACTGGGATTTGGTGTTTATATGATATGAAATCCGGAAAACATTTTAAAAGAATACTTAATTCCCAGTGCTCTTGCTTTTCTCTTTGAAAGTCATCACATAACGGCATTGTAATACACGGTTCGGCTGCATTACATGTTACAGATCTGCCGTAGTTCTTTATTTATAGAGCCCTGATGAGAAGACCTTTGGAAAAACTGGAAGAAATGCTGTCGAAACTGAATACTTGACGTGGATCATAAATATATCAACAATTAAACTAAACTTAAAAAATTTAAAAAAAAACTTCTTCAATTTCTCTTCACTTCAATACGTCTCCTTGCAGTATCAACACTAATTCGAATGACTTTTACATTTGATCTAATTCATAGATAGGTTATATTTACACCATAACGGTGCACAGCTGATATAAAAGGACTTGTAGTTTTTAAAAGATATTACTGATTTTCTTTGAATATAAGAATGTAAATACTGAGTCTGAAATAGTATAGCAATATGCTGTAAAATTATGTGAAAGCATGAATAAAACTTCACATCTTCAGATGTTGTACATACATAAGTGTCCTACACTAATAATACAAAGTTATTATGGCTGTGTGTACCTTGTGTGCACCGCCTAGTGGTTAAAGCACATTATTGAATTATTGTTTTTATGTGTTATATTTGATTAAAAAAAAAAATTAAGAGTACATACTTTCATAGGGGGAAAGTAGAAGGTCTGTGATAGAAATATAGAATATAAAAAATCAAGAAGATACTATAAGTGATCTCTACAATAAAACAGTTTAGTGCAGGATGTACAAAGATATTAATAGGAGGAGGTGCAAAACAGAAAAACGAATTAACCTATATTTAAACATTAAATAATACTTTAGATTTTCTTTTAAATAAGGAAAACACTTTGGGGGTATCTATCTACAGATAAATATTAAGCCTGACAAAGTACTTAACGTCTAATATATTGCTTTCCTGCAATGTTAACTATGTTGAAGCACTTATTTTAACTGTTATTATACATATGAATTATACTCTTATGTATGTAGATAGTATAAGAAATGTGCAGAATATGACAGTTTAGTGGTGGAGGTACACACACTTGATAGATGTCTTGTAATGCGCTGTTGAGGAACCTGTGACCCAAGATTTGTATTCATTGCATACACCGTAGTTGTGTATATGATATGTCAATAAACCTTTGAAAATCTTGAAATCTTGAAAGGGATGTGCAAAATAGCCATAATATACAGTCTTTAATGAACTATTAGTAGAGAATAACGAGTAATGAATATACTTTATTACTCGTTTCCATTCATGTCAATTGCAGATAAATGTTTAGTCTTCTCAAGCACCAACTATCAAATATCTCTCCTGATTGTTGGCACTTGACAATCACCTTACCTGAATTTTACTCAGGTGTAACTAAAGTCTGATTTAAGGGTTGTTTATATTTCACATCATTAATCAGAATCTGCAAAGTAACTCAAATAAGTGTAGTGGAGTAAAAATACCAGGTTAACCTCTGAATTGTAGTGTAGTAGAATTACAAAGTAACAATGAGCTGTCATGTGGGTATATATTAATGCTGCGCAGCGATTTTCACCCATTTATTAATTATATGTTTTACATTTGATAACACCAATGTGTTTAATACTGGCAACTTCTAATTGTGGGAAAAACGAAAACGTTCAGTAGAGACGTCCCATAGAACATTTTGTGAAACACAATAGCCAGCATGTGTAGTTCTGGGGGGCGTTCGATTCCAGTTTTGGATAGTCTGGCGTGGTTTCGTTCCATTTCAAACAGCTGTTTAACGCTCGTAGCTTGAAGATTAATCACGGGAACTGTAGTCCTAAACGATAGCTGGAGATTATGGCTAGTATTGTGTCTTCGGCCATCCTAAACTCCTAGAGGCCTACATCTGTTTCCGGTTATTTTTATTTTGAAATTCAGTTCCTGACGGACGCCAAAAAAGCCTGAGATTATGGAATTAAACCAATAAATAAAAGCAAGGATAATTGTGTGTTATTGGTGAGTAAAAAACAGTATGTTATTTTGAAAAGAATAACAAATTAGAAGGAAAAAAAGATTTAAAAAATACAGATTTCAGTATTCTGAGGCTCTGAGCCCCATTTATTTCCCTCACAGATGGCAACAAAAGTCAGAAATTATACGATTTAAAATAAAAGCAATAATTGTGGCTTGATATTGAGTAAGAACATGTTTTTATGAACCACACAGCTTCCGGTCTTCCACGACCCGACCGGAGAAAAAGACGTGCTGCAG